ATCGGTGGTGTGGTTTTCGTTGCCGGCGGAGTCATCCTCATGGATATGGAAGCCCTCGTCTCCATCGCTGAAACGCGGTGAGCTGGTGCCGCCAGGTCCAAAATCGTCGTCGTTGGACCTCTGGGTCAATTCTGCCACTTCGGCTTCCAACTCGGTGATTCGCTGCTGGCTCCCGACCAGGTCACATTGCAGAAGAGAGACCTCACGGAGCTTCGAAGCTCCCAACTCGTCCTTGAGAGCTTGGAGTTCCTTGTTCTTCTGCTCGAGTCGGCGCTGCAGGTCGTCCTTGGACTTGTGCTCCGCGTGGTACCGATTCATCTCGTCGCTCAGGCCATGTCGCCGAATCCGTCTGGTGGTTCTGGCGTCGAGCACTTCGCGGAATGGGGTGAATTGGATCTCGTCGTGGTCCCTATACCGGGTGATGGCCGGGGTGGACACTCTTCTGAGCTTGGGGGTTTTCAGGGAGGCCTTGCCCACGGCGGGAGTCAGACCGGTTGTTCCATGAGCGGGGAGTGGTTCAGAGAACCGAGCTCTCTTCTGAGGTCTCTTTCTGGAGGGAGTTATCGCCTGTGTCGGTTTGATGGGGGAGATGGCGTCGCTCGATCTCTTGGATCTGCGGACTTGAGCAGTCCCTGTCGAGTTGTTGTCGGCCATGAGGCTGCGTAGGTGAGATCATACGAGGATAATAATGATAGCAACGGCAACAGACTCATCCAAATGCAATTCTTGGGAGAAAGAGAATACGATTTTTTGTAGAAGCAGGAGGATTTTTTACAGCTCGTGGTCGGAAAGGCGGTTGCATATACATAAACAAACGGGTGGCCGAAAGAGGCAGCGGACCAACATGTTTCCTAAAGCGGTTTAGTCCGTCCAAACGGCTGTAGCGGGTGCCCGCCAAGACGAGGCTGTCTAGCCCCAACGCGTGAAAGCGTGTTTCAACTTTGGCACGTATGTTTCCGCATCATTGGTTCTGGGCTGTCGTGGCTGCCTACGAGGTTCTGAGTACGGGGTGGGGGAGTGGGGGAGGGGTCCATCTGTGAGCAACTACGAGGTGCTGAAAGACAACGACTCGCCGTCCCCCTGAGTGCCTCTTTCTGCCTGTACCGAGTAGAGATGCTCCTACAGCCGTTCTCCCAGGGATACGAGACCCCGGCTGCCTGAGCCTCCTTCAGCGGGCTGCGGCGTGATTGCACGTGGCGAGAAGATTGAGGTCGTTGTTTCTCCTACTGACAAAGGTGGGAATGTTTTCTTTTTGTTGGTTGGCCACCAAGACTTGACTCAGCCTTGTGGTCAAAGAAACCCCATTTCATCTTTGATCAACCACGTGACAAAGGTTTGAACAACTTGATTCGAGGTCGCTGAACTTCTGGTATCTTTGTGGACGATTTTCTCCTCTTGCGTCGGCTATGCATTGGCGATGCTTGTGATGCTAACCCTTCCACGGGAAGTCATCACTTATGAAGCCGCCGGATGAAGAGGAACGGATACTCTTTCACCACCTCAGAGGAGGACGACCGCGATAAAGCAGCAAACCATGGAAAAGAGTATGTCGCACTAGGGTGAATCACACATATGAGCTTATTCCACTGGTGGTATGATACATGGTCAATGGGGATAAATGTGGCAAGACGTCCGGCAACGCGGCCCCGGATTCGGCGATTGATCTCCGCCAGAAAAGAGACACTGTACTCGGTACACCAGTATATATACGCGGCTGTGTGCAATGGTCTGGCTTAGGCGAGCAGTGACGGTGGATTATTGCCAGCGGTTCGGTCGTTCTTCTCCCCGTTTCATTTGAGCTCAATCACACGCGTGTGCAGGACTTTGTCGTTTATCGGTTATCTTTGTCGCACGCGCTCGCAATGGCCATCACGCCCGGACAAGCCCCGCTTGAGGCAGATACTTCCGGCGACAAAGGCCAGCACGCCCATAGCAATGGTGTGAGTACAGCAAATGGCGTTAGTACCCAGCCAGACTTGAATGGGGTCAAATCTGTGCCCCTGCCCCTTGAGAAGCCGTTGGCAGAACAAGTCGAGCACAATCCCAAATGGGTGGTCATGGAAGACCACGTGCTCTGGAAACCACAGAAGAAAGTCAAGGTGATCAGTATCGGGTGTGGTTTCAGCGGCTTGACCTTGGCCCACAAGATTCAACACAAGTACAAGCTCGATGACCGGATCGAGCATACTCTCTATGAGAAGAACAGTGATGTAGGAGGAACTTGGTTTGAAGTAGGTCGAACAGCTCCTCCCTCTCTCTCTTGTTTGATTTGCCTCTGGGAGTATTGACGACATCCCACAGAACCGGTACCCCGGTGTGCTGTGCGACGTTCCGGCCCATATCTACACGCTCTTGGATGTCCCCAACACCGAGTGGCCGGCATTCTACGCCACGGGAGGCGACATCGAGGACTATCTCCGGAAAATCACAAAGGAACACAATCTCGATCGGGACGTGGTCTACAACTCGAAGGTGACTTCGGCCATCTGGAACGAGGACGAGGGGCTCTGGCATGTGACGGTCCAGCAAAGGGACAAGACGATCCAGGACACTTGTCAGATCCTGATCAACGGATCTGGAGTCCTCAATGCCTGGTCATGGCCGGACATCAAAGGCCTCTCGTCCTTCAAGGGCGATCTCCTGCATTCGGCCGACTACGCCGAGTGGGCCAAGAAGCCCGTGTTCGACGGGAAGCGTGTGGCAGTCATTGGGAACGGCTCCTCGGCCATCCAGATCGTCCCCGAGCTGGCTAGTGTGGCTTCCCACCTCTACAACATTGTGCGCTCGCCCACTTGGATCTCTGCCCCGTTTGTGGAAGAGTTGTCGGGTGCCCCCGGGACCAATCCTCAGTACACGGAAGAACAGAAGGAGGCGTTCCGCAAGGACCCTCAGAAGCACACCAAATACAGACACGATCTGGCACACGCGTTCAACCACTTCTACGAAGCGCTGATCGAGGGCTCCGCGGCCAACCAGGAGGCTCAACGACGCACAAAAGCCCTGATGGAGTCACGTATAGGTGATCGGCCCGAACTTGCGGAGCTCCTGATCCCTAAATGGAGTCTTGGATGCCGTCGTCTGACACCCGGAAACGGGTATCTCGAAGCCATCTGTTCTCCCAAGGTCGATCTGGTCGTGGGGAATATTGACACGGTCACTGAAACGGGCATCACCATGCAGGACGGGAAGCAGCTGGAACTTGATGCAATAATTTGCGCGTACGTCACGACTTGTCCAATGGAAGAAATGAATCGTCTCGGCTAACTCGTGGTGTTTTTCAAGGACCGGGTTCGATGTCTCGTTCAAACCGAGGTGGGTTCAAGAAGGTCGCGATGGCCGATCGTTGGCCAAGGAATGGGAAGTCGATGCTCAAGGCTATCTCTCCCTCTGTGTCAGCGGTCAACCAAACTACTTTATCTACAACGGGCCGTGCGGTCCCGTCGGGCACGGCAGTTTGTCTTCGGCCATTGATTGGGAGGCCGAGTATATACTGAAATGGGTCAACAAGGTTGCGCAGGAGGGCATCAAGTGAGTATTTTGTCTGCTGCGGTTGTCGTCTTCTCTCCTCGCTCGATGGACTGTATAAGTGGGATTTCATCGCGGCACAAAACTTACTGAATACCCGCACAAAACAGATCGTTCAACGTCAAGCAAGACGTCCAGGACGAATGGAACATCTACGGTGACGAGGTCCTCAAGCGCACCGTCTGGACCAGCGGGTGCAAGAGCTGGTACAAGAACGACCTGGGCCGCATCTTTGCCCTGTATCCCGGCTCGATCCTGCATTTCAAGGACCTGATCGAAAATATCCGCGCCGAGGACTTTGACATAACCTATCAGAACAAAAAGGTATCCATCTATCCTTTCCTTTCACTCCTGTAGGGATTTGTCCCCGTGTGTTCCACATGATGCTAACCATGATCGTCCTTGGGTTGCAGAACCGCTGGGGCTTTTGTGGCAATGGGTTTACTCAGTTGGAAATCGACGGGGGAGATCTCGCGTACTATATCAAGTGATTGCATAAAATGTAAAAAGGGGCCGACATGAAAAGGGTGGACGGTAAGGGGAGAATACAAAGCCTCTGGCCATGCACAACATTTGGGAAGGGAATGAGAGGATGAAAGAGTGGCTTAGCCACCACCAGACGGTTTACCGTGGCTGTTGAGCGTGTCGGCCAGTGTAGATTTCCTCTCTCTACGAGGAATAGGCAATGACACAGTCCTTCTGTCTGTACCTAGATTTGATACCAATCACTCGACGTCGATGCAATAGATCCAATTCCGACCGTAACTACCTAGATACAGCAGAGACCCTGTATAACTGTGTTGCCTGTGTGCCTGTACAGCACCTAACCCGTGGTACCACCTTAATAACGCATCTCATAGACCGTATGTGTGTGTGTGTGTGTATGTGTTCATATCCCGACCTACCGAGTACACATCTCGATATGTACCCTGATGTCCACAAGTCCCGCCAATCCCGCCCATTCCGCCATTCCACATCCCGCCACCCCGCCAAAAGCGAATATCCCCCGCAGGACAACAATGTCCGCTCACTCTGAGATGCGCCTGGCGGAATTTATTTTGCGGAATTTTTGGCATCCCCCACTGCACCCCTCACGAGTCTTCTCTCTACCGTGTCTACTTGGTTTGGAGCACCATGGTACATGTCTATGCACGTGTTCTGGGTTGATCTGGTTTGGTCTAGATCTCTTTTGTCCCCCTCGTGTTTTTTTGGTATAGTCTGGCCTGGCTGGTCTGGTCTGGTCTGGTCTGATTTGGCCCCCTTTTTTATTTCGAGTAGGAGTTCACTTGTGCTTGTTCACCTGCGCGGCTGGGTGGCTGCGTGCCTGGCTAACCAGAAGAAAAAGAAGAAGGGGTAGTGTCTATCGTCTAGTATCCCGTGTCCCCTCCCAACGGCAAATCAGAACAAGGCAATAGCGTTAGGATGGCTACCCACCCCACCTATATTTGATAGAGGATCAGCAAAGAAAGCTCTGGTCAAAGAAAGACAGGGACAGGGATTTTTTCACCCTTGACATTGGCCGGACAACTGGTGAGGAAAAACTCCCACCGACGCGTCTTTTTGCAGAGCTCGGCCAGGCCGTCGAGGTCCCACATCTCGCCGATGGGCACGCCCCAGAGCGGTAGGAGGAAGGAATGCAGGATCTCCTTCCCCGACTCGACAGAGGGCGGCCAGGACTCGAACGTGGGCGAGTCGCTCGCCACGGCGCTGAAGTAGTTGTCGTGCAGGAACTCGACCACCTCCTCCCCGCAGTCCACCCCGGCAAAGGCCAGCTCATGGAACCCTTTGGCCCGGTACGCCTGCCGCCCCGCCGCGTCGAGCTGGTTGTATCCCGCGGACCAGCCCGTACGCACGAGCAGGATGTCGCCGTACTTGAACTCGACGCCCTCGGCTTCGGCGCACGTGCGCAGCTCCGCCAGCGTGATTCTCCTGGCGGAGAGCGGATCGTACCATTCTTTCGTGAAGGAGTAGATGTCGAGAAGGACGGCGCGGCCAGCTAGGAAAAGAAAGGCCCAGGGAGTCAGTCTCATGATGGATCCGTCAATCTGACGCACGAGAAAGAGATCATGTACTGTCATACGTACCGATGCCCTGTTTTCCCCATGCTTGGAGTCCGATTCTCGATGAATCGACAATTTGCTCGCGAGTGGTCTGCGCCATGTGTCAGCACTGGTAGTCCTCGTCCTCGTCGTCAATTCGACCAGAACAAGCCATCAGAACGCCTGATGCATACATTGTTATACCAAACCCAAGATCCATTGTGCGAGAAGCCGACCTGTCAAGTTTTGAGCGGATGCTCTGAGAGTCAGAAACCAGGCCGTTTCCAATCCAAACAGCAAAATATACGCAACAGGATCTCTCACATGCCGATACCCATCCCACTGCGACCCGCTCTGCGGGTTGAAATCATACAGGTCGTCGTAGGAGGACTCGTTCAGCTGCTTCAGGCGATGTTTGAAGGTTTCGCGGCCGAAGAAGGGGGGGTCTGGATAGTCGAGGGGGAAGCTGAAGGAGAGTAATGCCGTGAGTATACACATATGCACATACTCGTATACACACAGAGAAGAGGGGAGGAGGGAGATATCTCTGTTGTATGCATGCAACATGTACGCAGGTCACAGACCACAAAATGCAGCCTCGGACAGCATTTCAATGGAGAAAAAGACACGGCACTGCATGTAACGATTAGAGAACACCTACTTCAAAGCGACCCTCTCGCCCGTCCGAATCAATCTGGCAGCATCCGCGACCCGCCGCGCCGTGAGCAGGTTCAATCGTCCCAACTGTACGCAGAGCGAAATGCCACAGTACACATTGTCTCAGTCTCAATCTAGGTTCTCAATCGCAACCCGGGTCTTCTTGATCCAGGGAGCCACAAAGCACAAGTTTTAACGAGCGACAGCGACAAACCTCGTCATTCTCGCCCCAGAACCACGCCGCGTACTTGGGCGCTCCGGGGATTTGTTCCAGATCGGCGAGCTTGGGCAGGTGATCCGAGTCAGGGTCGAAGGTAGGCATCAAGAGACAGACGTAACTAGTATAGGACGCAAAGGTATTCTCGGTGGTGGCGAGGGGACAGGTAAACGAGCAGAGAGAAAGGAACAATAGATCAGTCTAAAGAAGACTTTCTACGAGAACGAATTTTCCAAGAGAATGGAGGAAGCGTTGTTTGTTCATTCATTCATATACTCGGTATTATATGTAACTATTTATATGTACGTTTCTGGCTAGATAGACCGTGTCCATATTATGACTATTAAGCCAAGTATCCACTTTTGCCACGGCCACATACCTACGCATACTCACTTTCCCCTGCTGAAATGTTCCGCTTCCACCAGCGGGCCCATCATAGTGCGTTTCCAAGAGCTGCTCGTTCATTCGCCTCCCCAAGCTCGCGTCCGGTTCGCCTTCAAGGACTGACAACCTCGACCCCGCTATGATATTTGGTGTCAGAAGATCATGCATGCATGCTTGTGGATCACGACACCCGCTCTGGCTGCCTCTGGTCGTCAAATCGTTAGAGCATTTTTGGGGGGGGCTGAGTCCGGGTGGGCCTTGTGATCTTCCCCGGCATTGCAGCATGGCCATGTAACATGATGCCCTCTGTGAGCGTTGAAGAGGCTTGCAGGCTTGCCCAGTCGCTCTCTCCCCCTCACAAAGGATGATCGCTTGGAACCGAATAACGTCGCCTATGAGAACAATGACGCTCCGAAGCCGTACAAAATGTCAAACTGAGCCGATGCCGGAAGGTACTCGTCATACGCAAAAGGGCTGTAGCTTGCGGCGAACTCGCCATTGTCGCCCGAAGAAAAGACCTGCGCTTGTTCGTCGTCGTCGGCGGCCATCAGGGGAGGGTCGCTTTGGGATTCTGTCGCCCCGAGCAGAGCAGGTCCTATGGACCCATTGTCGTTGACGTTGACGTTGACGTTGACGTTGAAATCGACGTTAATGTTAACATCCCAACCACGCCGGGCCCCGCTTGGACCTTGCCAGGAATCTTCCGTCGGCGTTGCGTGACCAGGGAACAGACAGCTGGTCCCTATCCGACACAGCCTCATGATCAGCTGAATGGTCTGCCGGACCTTGCGAGCGACCGGGTAGGAGATTTGGAGCTCTTCCAGCGTCTTGACACAGGCCTTGAGACAGTTCAATTGATGCCACGCCTCTGCCGGTGAGGATCGTCGTTCTGCGATTTCCGCAATGAAGGTTGTCGCCGCGGTGGCAATGCTGAAAATCGCAATCCCGCTCAGAGTCCTCGCGTCACCGTGGGTGCGGCGGTAGTCTTGGAGGATTTGTGTCATCTCGATCGCGTGGTGGATGCATGATGCCCGAAAATGGCCTTGTTTCGAGCCGGCAGGGAATCCGGCCATGTGGCGATGCAGCAGAATCACAACTGCACAGTATTTCATGCTATGGCCGACGACAAGACACACGGAGGTGAGTAATGGATCCAAGTCAATGTGAAAATAAAGTCCACCAAGAGACGAAGCGAGAAAATATCATGCACTTACTGAAGGACGGTGATTGCAGGTTGTTGCGTCTCGCGATGATAGTGAATCGACGGCTGGAGATGGGTGGACCAGAATCGAAGCCACTCGTCGAGTTCCGAGAGCGTTTCTAGCGTACATCGTTCCCCGTTTCTGAAGCCAGTCAGTGAGCGATGGGTCTTGCTTCTTGGGCCTTTCTTGACGAGGCCCCGAGTTCGCACCAAAACATGACTTACATTGTATCGCTGATATGGCCCAGGATCTCCAAAAGAGTAGCCCACGCGTAAGCCATGTCCGTCTCCCACGATCGCTCCATTCGAGAGTATGCAGGGTCGCGGACACCCAAGTCCTTCAAGGGAAAACAACAAGGTCGACCAAGATATACAGACCAGAGTCTGACAGATTAATTAGATTGCCATCGGGCTGATGAGGCATCGAGGGGTGGGAATTACCGATCAAAGACGATGCACGCCCAGAAGGTGTTCTGGCGAGCTTCGATATCCAAATCCGTCAAGGACGGGGAACTCAACTTGTTTGTGCCAAAGTGTAGTCCTAGTTCGATCGCTAGCCTACACGCGTTACCTGCGGACGGCAGAAGTCAGCAACGTCTGCGGCTGATGCCGGACGATATCCCGACTTGGTGCATACCTGTTATCAACCATCCTTTAGTGTCCAAACTGAGGGCACAGTAGCTCGTGGACAGGAGTAAGAGTGATTGTATGGTCGTGAGTTGAGGGTGCATCAACTCGTCATCGAGATATCGCGTAGCGAGGGCAAGGAGAGGTGGTTGCTTCTCGTCCATACTGTCGTCCTGCGTGGACAGCGCCAGAGCTCGAATAGCCGGACGGTCGGAAATGCGAGCGGCGCTGGCAAAGATGCAGGTGAGAAGGGCCTTGCTCACGTATCGGGTCCGCCGCCTCTCCAGGTCGTGCAAGAATGCTCCTTTGTGGAAGACGCGTAAGACATTGTCTTGATACTTCCAGTAGAGATTGAGAAGATAGTCCTGGGTCTCCCGGTCGACCAGTTCTTGAAGCCTAGGATCATCACCGCCAAAGGGCGCACTGTAGGAATTATCCACCAAGGATGAAGACACGCTCTCGGTCAGGTGTAGACTAGATGTAGGTCCGAAAAAGCGGTACTGTCCTCCTCTGTCGCTGTTGAGTTTCCACTGTCGGCCGCACAGACGAGAAATGAGACTGTCCTCGGTGGCGCTGCTGCTTTCTGCGTCTGGAGGAGGCTTCGCGTTCGTCGAGACAGCGTCAGTGGGTGTTGGAGCAGTCAACGCTTGACTGTCTGAGGTCTCTGTTCGTGAAGCAGCGACTAGCGATTGCGCCGCTGCAAGCGCATTCTGGAGAGCTTCGATACGGTCATAGAGTTCCTTGATGTGGCTTTTGGACGAAGGGCTTCGCGTATTAGATGGTCAGTCAGTTATTTTGCCTCGCTAAGCCGGCTGCGAAATGCAGATTTCCTACAATTTTCGTTGGTCTCCCGGCGGCCACATACACGGGACATGGAGCTTCTTGCACGTTCGGCAAGTCGGTGCATTGCCGTTACACTGCAAAGAGATCAGCAACACCCCCGGGAGAAGATGATTTCGTTCTCCAGACAGATCCCGACCTTTTTCTTTTTCGATCTGCATCTCAGGCATGCCAGAGCAACCGAGCCACCAGAGGGCGACGCCGAGGGTGAGGCCGAAGGCGAGGGCGATGATGTTGAATGGCCTCGCTTGCGTCGCCGGGCGGGGTTCGCTTGTCTTTCCATGCCGGTAACTCTGGGATGTCTGGTTTGAGGCGGCACCGAAACTTGGAGATTGAATGACGGGACGGCGGTGCTGGGCGCTAGACACACATTACCTGCATGACGAGTAAAGAAAATGGTCGAGAGGCGGAAGATGGACACTGGGGGAAAGATATCGACTCAATTGTAGGGATTGTTACAGGGAGGGGGGTGGAAGAGAGCGAAGAGGGGAGCTGGGCGCGGGGGTCATGGACGATATATTGACCTTAACTAGTAACAATGGCTACGGTATGCCTTCTGACTACTCGCCATAGGCGCCCCCAGTGCACAGCGAGGCAGGTAGAAGATGCCTACAAGTAACAAGTGGAAGAACCCGGGCCCAACTTCTGGGCGCCCCGTGGTCTTTCCGGCGCCCACCATACCTCATCCTTAAAAAGTGCGTCATGCATGTGTCCCAACTGTCATATCACCATATTCACAGCAAATGCATACTTTGACTCTTACAGGAATGCGGAATAATTGATCGACTGGTTAGCTCCTGAGATCGAGCACCCTACTACATGTACAAGAACCTATAACGTTAGATACACTCAATCCCCCTCATCGCTATGTCAAGGTCATGGGAATGGAGGAATAACTCTGCCAGCCATGATGCAAATCGTCACCAAAGCCGACAGGGTTCCAGTTTGGCAGCCCGAGATTCGCGAAGCCGGGAACCATGCCCTCAGCGCCGCCAACGCCACAGTCGGCGGCGAGATAGTCATTTTGGTGACTAGAAGCCAGGCCCTGATTGCGGTCTGAGGAGGACGGATTCAAAGCCATGCTGACCTCTCGGAAAGTGGGATTGTCTGGGGCAGCAGATCCTGGTCCTAGTCCCGATGCTTGCAAATTCGGCGTCGGGATTACACTGGACAAAGCCTCCTGGCGAAGGACGGCTTGTCGAGCTCGAGCGATGCGAACAGGTCCATCTAGCAGATGGAGAATCTGTCTTCCGGTATAGAAACCGGTGGAAATGTCCTCGAGAGTCCGAAGTGTCCGTTCAAACAAGTCCACGACTGACAAACCATGTGCTGGTGGACCAGAGGTGTCGCCCGTGTCCTGGGCCGAAGTGACGCAAATCAACCCGAGGAGCGCTTCGGCGAGGTGTACCACATAGGTGTATCGCTCGGTACGCTTCCACTGGCTTGTTGATGACCACCCGAGCTCGACCGCAGTGATGATCTCGGCCGCAATCTGGACCACCTCCGTCCCCGTCTGGCTCCTGTGGTTGAGACTCAGCAACTCTTGCCGACGAATGCGAAGCCGCGAACTGCGGGCGAGGAGATAGAGACGCAGGCTCTGGTCCTGCACAAAGGCATGAAGTTCATCAGAGCGCCAGCCAGACCCCCGTCGCGATGACGCCGACCATCGAAGATGGCCTGGTGCTTGCTGCGATAGCTGCAAGATCTTGTTGTCCAGCCGTGCAACCAGGTTCGAAGAAATTGGTTTACTGGCGCTGACATGGGAGTACATTTCGTCCCACATCTCGGAGCACGACTTTGTCCAGTCGACACACTCAAGCAGATACGGGACGGGCGACGTCCTAGGAAGTTCGTACAGCGACGAACAGCCTGGATAGAGCATCCTGTCGTCCACGCACGCTGGTAGGCCCACGTCACAACTCGACAGAGGGAACAAGTCGGGTACAGCCAGTGCGTGAGCGATTTCCGAATTTAGACAATATAGACACCAGAAGGTGCGTTGACGATATGTTCTTCCGTAGAAGCCCAACGAGTCTTCTCCCCAGCCTTCTTCTCGGTGCAGTCCTATAGAGAAGCATAAGCGCACGGCGGCTCCTATCGTGGCGTATGCGGCGTTGAGTTTCAAGGTGTACAAATGGTACAAACTCTTGACAAGCATGGCCTGTATTGTGGTGAGGCTGGGTTTGTCCTGCCACGCGGCAAGATTCAGTAGTCTTTCTGCACGACAAACTTGTTGGTACCCCGGGACGGAATCTTTATTCCCAGAAGACGTGTCAGAGGCCACCTGCGCCACTGCCATGATGACATTGAGGAGGGCTGCAAACTCTTCCATGGCAAGCTCTCGGCATGTGTAATTGGAGTCGTTGGCCAGGAATGCGGCAAACATCGACCGCATGTGAGTCTCGTTGACGCATGGATAGCTTGAATGGACGCTCGTGAAATAGGTATCAAGACACTGGCTCATCTGATCCACCCCGTCGAGCCTTGTCTGTGCCATGATTTCGTCTCCTTCGCTTCTTTCGGGGCCGTGCTGAGGAGGACTCATCGTGGTCGTGATGGTGCGAGCGGGTGCTGCATTGGGAACTGGCGATTCTATCGAGATGAACCTGTCGTGTCGGGCACTGTAGTCCGACTCGAGAGCATTTTCCAGGGCCTCAAACTGGCCCAGAAATGAAAGGGAGCGCTGGGGCTCAGCACGTACACAAGTATCGGGGCACGGTGCGTCGTGCATGGCGCGAGAAGATTTTGCTGACCGCTCGTAGGAGGACAGGTAGTGGGAATTGTCGTTGGAGCACGTTGAGCCGGCCGTGTTGTCATTCCCTCCCACTTGCCTGGTAAGACTCGTGAGCTGGTGTTCAAGGAATTTACAGCGTTGCTCGAGCGCCTGGCTTTGAAGTCGCACTTCGAAGTCGCTGTCGGCAGGCGAGGGGAGGCTCATCGAAGCCGAGATATTGACATTGGTCCGCGAGTCATCTTTAACACACCGGCTCAAAGCGGCGGCCCTTTGCGCCGCCTTTGCTGGCCGACGACCTCGTGGCAGACGGATTCCAGAATAGGCACACTCAGTGGCGGACAGCCGACAGTTCTGACACGGCATCTCTCCAGAGCACTTCCTCTTGCGCCGTTGGCACGCTGCACATGCCTGTGCTGCATATTTGTCTCGAGCCTTGGTTGACGGTTCACTCGGACAAGTCATCCTGATCATTCCAGACGAGTGATGTATACAATCAGCCGTCCCCGCGATTTGGGAATGTCACTGCTGTCACAACAGACGATGAACCTGTAGCTGTCGAATAGGGTGTGAGCATGGTTAAAGGTAAGGTATTGCTTGCATTCAAAGGGTTTCTGGAGTGTAAGTCCTGTGCTGGGAATTGGCGGAGGTCGATGGCCGCCTTCGAGCCGCTGCCTGCGCCACTCGTGCGGGATAGCGTGTTGGATCTGGAGCCCTTGACCCCATCTGGGGCATGGATCGATCATGATGGGAAGCCATCCACTTCCAGCCCTTCTTGGCATTGAATTCAACTCGGCGAGGTGCTTAGGAGCCAATTCAGGCTAGACCGATCTCCGGAGGATGTGGCCATGAAGGCTCGTCGTCGAGCGCCGACCTCGTGGGAATTCAATCAACTTGGTATCCAGTTTGATGTGTGACTCAACGGAGGAACATGGTGAATTCTGCTAGGTCCTGGGGACCGTCTGACTATATACCTTCGAGTAATTTACAGGGCCCTACCGGCGCTAGTCCGAAGGCCTTCGGCCGAGGACTAGCGTGA